GATATATACAAGGAGAAACAAAACCACAGGGGTTCCTCGGTAGCTATTGGTACTCCCTCAGCCTCACAATTACTCTCTAGTTCTCTTTGTTCTTTTGTTTCTTTAGCTCATTTCCACTTTGTTTTCTTTCTGGAATACATTTTTTTCATTTTAAATTAGCACACACAGATGCACAAATTACTTGACTGGCACTAGTTACAGAATTATGGAAATCAGAATTACAGACTGCCTCATACTGGAAGAATGTTTTTATTTTTCATTTCTAGTGGTTGAACCCAGGACCCTGTACCTGGTAGGCAAGCACTTCACTGCTGAGCTACATCTCAACCCCAACTGGAATACAATTCATCTATCATAGAATTTACCCTTCTGATTTACTCTCAGAGTTATATAACCAGTATCACTACCCAATTTCAGAGCACTTTCATCACTCTGAAAAGTATGCACATACCTATGAACTATCACTCTTCATTGCTTTTGTACATGAGTATCCAGTTGTCCCAGCAACATCTGTCGAAAAAGCTATTCTTTTCCCATTGAACTGTCTGGATATCTTGTCAAAAACTCAGTTGATCATAAATATGAAGGTTTATTTTGGGGCTCTCAGATCTGTGCCACTAATCTGTCTATCCTTCTGCTAGTGCCACATTACACTGTTTTCAGTAGTTGCACGATAAATTCTAAATCAGGAAATATGAGTCCTCCAAACCTTGTTCTTTTTCAGGGATGTTTTTATGCAATCCTGAGTTCCCAATAATTATACGTCAGCCTGTCAATTTCTGCCCCAAACAAACAATAAAAAGACAAAGTAATAGAAGTTATTTTGAATCTGACAACCAATTCAGGTACACTGGCTAGGTATGGTGGCACACCCTTATAATCCTAGAACTCCAGAGGCAGAGATAGGAGAAATACCACAAGTTTGAGGCCATCCTGGGTTATACAGTGGGTCTAGGCCACCAAGTAATATACACTGAGACTCTGTCTCAGAAAACAAACAGCAGTTCAGGAGCATTGCCATGTTAACATGGCCTCCAATCCTCAGATACTGGGTGGTTTTCCATTTAGGTCTTCCTTGATTTCTCTTAGTAATGACTCTAATTGTCAATGTAGAAGTTTTGCATTTCTTTTTGTTGGGCTTATTCCTAGGTGTCAATACTTTATCCCCTTTGGATACTATCACAAACAGTTTTGTTTGCTTAATGCCACTCTGAGGCTGTTCAAGTTTAGAAAAACAATAGATTTCTGTTTCTAATCAAGATTTTTTAATATAAAAAACCCCATGTGGTCTGTAAACAGTTTCACTCTTTTCCAATCTGGATGCAGTTTGTGTCTTTTCCTGCCTATTGCCCTGCTCTCTGCCCCTTTAAAGCCTACCTAGTTTCTTTTTTCAGTTCTGGGGATTGAACCTAGGACCTCACACATGCACTGAGCTATCCCAGTCCACCCAGCTTACACAGTTCTAGAGTCACTTCTTCTTTTCTCCTCATTAGAATAAACTTTCTTGGGGGATGGTGCCAGGGTACAGGAGGAAGAGAGGAAGTAGAACCCTTAAGAGCAGAAGTTGCAATTTGTAGTTTTAATTGATTTCCGGGGAGCCGCCCATATTTCACAGTGGAATGATTCTGCTTTATATGAGCTGGGCCCAGTGATTTTTTTTTTCTGGATAAAAAGTCTGAAATTGAATTTTAATAGATTTAGTTTTAATTGTGGTTGGGGGTGTGTGCACACGGGTGAATGCAGGTGTCCTGATGTCCAGAAGAGGGCACTGGATTCCCTGGGGCTGGTGTTACAGGTGGTTGTGTGCCACCTGATGTGTATACTGGGAACCAAACTCCAAACTTGGATTCTCTGGAAGAGCAATAAGTGCTTTTTACTGCTGAACCAACCTATGAAACTTGGCCTTTCAAGCTTTGGACATAATCGTGGATAAGCCCAACCCTTCCTCAGCCATTAAAATCAAAGATATGGTCACTTTCACCAGTGTCAATCTCTTCTTTTCTAGACAATTTTTCCTTGCCTACCTAAAGCGGACTATTTAACAGTTCTTACTATACATCCTATCTTTTGAGAAATAAAATAACCAGACAATAGAGCTATCAGATGTTCTACCTTTACCCCCAAAGAGACTTTGACAAATATTTCTCCCACATCTAAAGCCTCCTCTGGTCTTTCAATGCTATGATCTACAGGAGAATCTACCAATCTGTTCTTTCCATTTAACCTTACTTTTTAAAATTTGCCCTCTTCCTGGCACTTGGACTCTCCCGGTGATCATCCAAAAAGGAGTGAGCATATTTTCTTGACAACCCAGGCTCTTCAGGCATCCCACCTAGGAGAACTTTCCATCAAAACAAAGGACACACTTATCTGCCTCAGTTCTGATGAAAGTCCTGGTCCACCACATACAACAGGACTCCTAGTTTCTCCAAAACAAGAGAGAGAAAAACAGAATTTAATTAAAAGTGTGAGATGTATAGCAAAGTCTGTGTTAAATGGCTTACACTGAAGAGGAACATTTCCCTCCATGACATTGCAGGCCATCTGTTAGTCGGAAAGAAAAGAACCTGTGACTTTATAGATTGGCCCCTTCCCCAAGTATGAGTGAGCACACTCACTGTTAGACGCAAAACACCCAGGTCCCTAGCCAGGACCTACCTAAAGGAGGGGCCAGGAAGGCCAGCTGTCATGGCCCTCTCCTGTTTACTACTCCAAGTGCCCAGGTCTCTGGGACAGCTGCCCTCTGTTTGGGGTTTTCCTCCCAAAGACCAATCACTTCATCCTACTCTACTCAAAATCAATCTCAGATGCCACAAGTGTAGCTTCATCCAGCTTCCTGTCCATAGTGATCTTCTAACCCCCAGGTCCACTTTGGGCCCTTGGTCTAATGACAGAGCCACTTGGCTCAAGCTCCCAGTTAAGGTTATTCCTCCCTTATCTTTGGTCTGCAGCTCCTACTGAGTCCAGCTACTAAGAAATGCTTAACTGGGAGGTATAGCCACGAGTCAAATCTCAGAACTGGTCTTAACACTATTCCACAAAGCTTCTCCTAATTAATGAAGCAGAGAAGAATGAGAATATAACAAAATAATCTGAGGCAGGGAAAGAGGATTGATACAAATCCCTTTGAACTGAGTTGTACTCTCCTACCTCAGGCCTGTTTATTAGCCAGGCTATGGACAGAGGAGTACACTGTCTTTAGCCTAGGTTGGTATAGCATCAAGGAAAGGTTCCCCAATTATGCACAGGTACTGTGAGGCCATGGCAAAGAGACACGGGAGGAAATGTGGGGCTGCTATGAACCTGACACCAGTACATTTTAACAATGTTATACTCTTATTTGCTACAAGTTTAAAAAGTCCTCTCCCACTCTTGTAATACTTTACTATCCCAATAATTCACAACTGCTACTACTAAGACCTTAAATGTACCACCTGTTTGCCATCTATTTTGTTTTTGTTTCCTAAGTTTTGTTGTTATTCTTATTGCTGTTGTTTTGTTTTGGAGACAGGGTCTTTTGTTGTGTAGCCCAGGTTATCCTAGAATGCTTTATGTAGCCCAGGCTGGCCTGGAAGGCACAATCCCCATGCCTCAGCTTCCCAAATACTGGGACTACAGGCAAGCACTATCACAGACTGATATTTGCTATCTTTCAAGGAGCCAGCTACTGTGTGTGTGTGTGTGTGTGTGTGTGTGTGTGTGTATCCCTTCATATCTGAGGTAACATATTCAACATTACTTTCAGCTTATTAAAAAGCATCAAATGAAACAATTTCAACATTACTTTCCCCATTCTTCTTTCATATTTCAAAACACAGTGTATTTCATTTTCTGAATCCATTCTCTGTATCTACAGGCCCAGATTTAACATATTTCCTATAGTAACAACTACTCTATTTATTGGAATGTAAAAAAAGAGGTCACACTTAACAGAAATGGCATGTACCCCAAAGACAAATGCAGTTTTCTGAACACCTGTTGAACATCAAATGATGAAAAGAATGTTCCAATTCCCAAAACTATGGATCCAAATCTAAATGTTGAGTCGCTTTGCTGCGATTGCCTGGGCCTTTTAAAAAACAAAAACAAAAACTCCAAAACCCAATCCCCTCCCAAAAAAACCAAACAACAAAAAATACAAACAAAACAAAATAAAAAACCAAATCTTTCCGAAGAAAGGAGGTTGTTTTGTTTTGTTCTGAGACTCCCTGTCTAGCCCTGGCTGTCCTAGAACTCACTCTGTTGACCAGGCTGGCCTCGAATTCAGAAATCCTTCTGCCTCTGCCTTCTGAGTGCTGGGATTAAAGGTGTTCACCACCGTCGCTCAGGTGAAAAGGAGTTCTAATATGCTGATTGCTTTAGAAATAAGATGCCTTATTAAAAAAGCAGTCTGTTTCACTGTGAATTATTTCTCATCCAGTCACTTCAGACGTAGCTATGTGATTGGAACCGCAGGGCAAGCACGGAGACAGAGTGAGCATGACGAATATTTTCAGTTTGTCAAGGGTGAAACTAACAAATAGTAACCTGACACTCCCCTTCGTTCCACAGGCTGGTGAGGCGGCTACACTGTAGGCTAACTTCCTATAGACCATAAGGCTGAATGAAAGCAGCCGCTGTGGCGAAGAGTGGCACGTAAAGGCATGGCAAAACCTCCGCCGTGGCATTTATTCATTCATTGTCATTGGGCTGGAAGCTCACCTCTCCAACTAGGACCCTCACACCCGCATTCTCACTTCCAGCCCTAGGCTGCACTGATGACGCTCTCTAGAGCCTCGCCCTCCCTCCCTGTCCTGTGTTCCCAGGCCAGGGTGACAGAATCTAAGACGGCCGGCCTTGGCACCAGCAAGCAAGGGGCTCGCAGCCCCGAGCTCAGGGGGAGCCTTGCGCGACGAGTGCCCGTCGGAGTCGGGAGAGGCGATTGGCCACCTGGCTCTGGGTGTAACCTGAGGGCAGAAGGTGCCCAGGAGGAAGGGCAGCGAGCCTGCGCGGCGAGTTACCTGATGAAGGTGGTCTTGCCCGTGCTGTACTGGCCCACCAACAGGATCATGGGCTTGTTTTCGAAGTCGGCGTCCTCCAGCGCAGGCGAGTGGAACTCGTGGAAGCGGTACGCCTCCTCCAGCGGCAGCACCTTGCGCTGGTAGAGCGAGCGCAGGCCGCCCGTCACCGTCTGCACCGCGTCCATGCCGCCCGAGCGTTCGCGCCCGCCCGCCTGCCGTCCCATCCAGCTGAACATGCTGCCGCCCGCCAACTAGCAGCCCGCTGCGCACCAGTCAGACCCTGCGTCGCTCCGTCTCAGTGCCCGCGTAGCCCTGGCCGCCGCCGCCCGCTCCCGGACCCGCCCCCTGCCGCGACGACCAATCCTCAGCCGCTGCGTCACTCATTATTCAGAAGCGCTCTCAGGTCCTTCCTCATTGGGCGTCTGCCAGCGAGGAGTGGAGGCTCTAGCCAATGGAAAGGCGTGTCTTAATGAACTATCGATGACCGCATCGTTCTGGAGAGCTGGGCGAGGGGAGGGAGTAGCCCAAGCTGGGTGACACGGACCCTTCTCCTCGGGTATATGCTTTTGGCCAAGGGGCGTCGGCTTCCGGGCAAGTCTTAGCTGGCAGGAACGAACCACTGGAGGCCGACCTTCTGGAACTTGACTCATCCTAAGCTTCTGGACATAGACACTGGGGACGGACAATTCAGAAAGTTGACAGACAGGTTCCTTTTCTCCTGGCTGATTATTACCCTATTTACTGTAGAAGAGACTCGGGCTCACCGATATAACTGGCAAATTTTGAAGGAGAGGAAATAAACTTCAGACTATCTGCGTGGATACTTCTCTTGCCTCCACTGAATTATGGATCAATTGAAGGCCCCCTTTCTCTTTGGCTTTATTTAATTTTCTATCGCATGGAATCCTCATTATTACAATCTAATTTCAACACTAACATACACCAGAGCTGTTGTCATCTCCTAGCTGCCCCCTTTCCAGTTTAAAACCTAGACAGTGGTAGAAATAATTCACCATTGCTAGCGCGTTTTCAGCGTGGCCCTTGAGATCAGAAGCGTAGGAATAACCTGAGAGTATTGTTAAAATACAGACCTCTTTACAGACCTCCTAAATTAAAATGTTGAGAGATGGGGATCAACAAGTGCCTGCAAAGTGATTCTTGTGTGCATTGAGTTTGGAGAAAGATCGAGTATAAATTACTTCTTGAACTTGGAAGAAATGCAGCTCTGACTCGTGAGGTAGTTGTAAAACTGCATTTTGAACGATCGTCCAAGTGTTGCCAGTGCAGTGCAAGAGTGTTTATTACAGCTTTACTCACCAGTAACACTTGGAAGCAACCAAAATGGCCTCCAGTGCATAAACTGTGGTATAGCTGCTGTTCTTTGAGGTGAATTCATTAGTGAGGTTTCTGAATACAAGGATCAGCTATGTCTACACGCTAGAAACAATTGGACATTGAAGTGGAAAATCAATTCTAAACTAACAAATGTTTAGAACTAAATCTAATCGAATGTACCAGACCTATATGCTGAGAATCACAATATATTTCTAAGAGAAATGGAGGCCTAAATATATATTGCCTGTATCAGGTCCATGGATCAGAAGATTCAACATTAAGATACCAGTTTTCCCCAATTCATTTGATGCGATCCTAATAAAAAACCTCAGCAGGTTTTAGTTTTAGTCAAAATTAACAAAATTATTCTAAATGTCATATGGTGGATGTGAAGGGCCCAGAATAAACAGAAAAAATGTTAAATATAACAAAGTAGAGCTAATTTCAGGACTAATAAAGCTACAAAATCAATACAGGGTGGTATTAATATAAAAATGGTCTAATAAGCATATACTAATGACATTTCAGGAACAGGCAACAGGCTTGTGTAAGGTTTTCTTGACTTATGACATCACACTTTAGTTTATGTAAGTACACTCCGTGATACACAAAGTCTAACATTGCATTTTAAGGACATATCATCATACCAATGGAACAGAGTCCAGAAAGACCTACATATACATGGCCAACTGGTTTTTGACAAAGCACAAAGACAATTTAGTGAATAATTCATAATCTGTTTGTTTTTCTTTTTGGAACAGAGTCTCATGCACCTAAGCTAGCCTTAGACTCACTAGATACATGGGAAGTACCTTGAACTCATCTTGATTCTTTTGCCTCTGCCTCCCAAGTGCTGGCTAAGAAAGTCTTTTATTTAAACAGTTCATAATGTAGAAGCTTAGCATGCATGAAGCAGAGGGTTCTACCCCCCAATCACCACCAAACACAACCCACATATAGTTCTAGATCAACAGGATACCTGTATCCAGAAACATGAATTTTGATTCAGGCCTCATACCCTATGTTCAAATGAACTGAAAAATGAACTCAAGAGCTAAATGTAAAATTTACAAATTTTAAAGTTCTCAAAGAAGGGAAATTTTTCCTAGATAACACCAGAGGGCCATATGTACATACGAAGAAAATTAGTTGGTAAACTGGATTTTATCAAACTTAAGCATGTCCAACCCATGAAAGAACTACGGGAAAGATAAAGTGCAGATTTGGAGGATATATTTACAGATAGCATCTCACAAAGGCTTATATCCAGAATGTATAGACGTTTAAAATTTTAATGACAAGAGGTTGGAGAGATAACTGAGTGACTAAGAGAACTAGCTTTGCTTCCAGAGGACCCAGATTCAGTTATCAACAGCCACATGTCGACTCAAGGACCCAATGCCCTTGACTCAGACACCCAGTGCCCTCTTCTGGCCTCTGTAGGCACTAAATGCACGTGGTACACAATCAGGAAGGCAAAACAAACAAAAATAAAGGAAAAAGGTTTTAGCATAAAACAAATTTTAATAATGGAAAAGTTTCAACAGACACTTCACAAAAGTGTGACAAGTTTAACATCATTAGTCATTAGGGGAAAGAAATTAAAACCACAAAAGACATCACAACATACCTGATAGTGTGTGAAATTATCAAGACCATGCAAATTGTTGGTGAGAATTTGTAACTGCTTTATACAATTTGTGCAAGTGTGAAATTACCCGACATCTTTGAGAGATGGTTGGTTATTTCTTGGAAAGGTAAACCCGCCTATTATATGATTTAGGGGAGGAGTAGAAAGAGGGTTATGCAGAAGAGGGAGAAGAAGCGCACAGGAGAAACCTTTTGGGGATGAAAGATGACCTTCCTGACCTTGATTGTGGTTTTAGTTTTACATTTGTACACCCAGGACATTAATCATATTACCTGCTGTCTTTAAAAATATTTTATTTTACATGTATGGAAAATTCGCCTGCTTATCTGCGTACCATATGCGTGCAGTACAAGAGGAGGCCAGAAGAGAGCCCGAGAGTCCCCAGAGACTGGTTACAGCCCCATGTGAGCCACCAGCTGGGTTCAGGGACTTGAACCCAGGGACTCTGCAAGAACAACCAATGCTCTTAACTACTGAGCCATCTCTCCAGACCCCCAAATTATGTACTTTCAATATATGCAGTTGATTATATGTCAATCATTCCTTGATAAATTACCAAAGATTCATATATTTTGCCTCGGGAATTTCATATTGAAGAAACTAACCTGAAGGTACCCTGAATATAAAACTTGATCTGAGAGGATGCTTATTATCATTTATAATACTGAAAAGCCACAACTACCTGTCTCCCCACAGAGTTAAACAAATGGTGGTTTCTTATGCATTTATTGAGCACTGTATTGCATAAGAAGAATATCAATGACCTGAAAAGAATCAGAGATTTGGATTATGGCTGTACCGTAGTGGGTGGCACATGGTGTAGCAGGGGTGAATCGGAAGATATTCTGTGGTGAAGAAGCCAGCCACAGAGGTGACTGTAGTAGAATGTCACTTCATGGAGTTTTCTAAAGTAAAGTTCACAGAAACAGGAAGTGGAGCTAGAGTGGTGGTTACCAGAAGTTTCAGGGAGGAGGAAATAGGGCACTGTCCAATGTGTATAGAGTTTCCATTTTGCTAGTTGGAAAAGCTACAGAGAGCTGTTGCACACAATGTGAATTCCTTACACCTGCTGAGCTCTGTACTTAGAAATGGCTTAAGATAATACATTTTGTGTTGTATGGTATTGTGTTGTATTTGTTTTGATTTGTTTTTTGAGACAGGGTCTTTTTAAAATTAATTTAATTTTATATGTATGGGCATTTTTGTCTGTATTTTGTGCACCACATGTGTGTTTGGTGCCCACAGAGGCCAGGAAAGGGTGTCGTATTCCCTGGAACTGGAGTTGTGGAAGATTGAGCCACTATGTGTGTGTTGGTGTTGGGAATTGAACCCCAGTCCTCTGGAAGAATGACCAGTGCTCTTAACTGCTGAGCCATCTCTTCAGCCCTATATGGTTTTAAAAAACTACAACTTGTGGGAGCTGGAGAGATGGCTCAGAGGTTAAGAGCACTGGCTGCTCTTCCAGAGGTCTTGAGTTCAAGTCCTAGCACCACATGGTGCCTCACAACCATCTATAATGAAATCTGGTGCTCTCTTTGGTGTGCAGGCAGGAACAATGTATACACAATAAATAAAATTTGAAAAAAGAAAGAAAGAAAGGAAAAACTACAACTTGTCAAGGTGGTGGTGGTGCCTCCAGCACTCAGGAGGCAGAGACAGGAGGATCTGCAGCATGTTTTCCAGGATGGCCAGGGCTGTTACACAGAGAAACCCCATCGCGAAAAAAGCAAAACAAAAACTACAACCTTATCTTATTCAAGTGGACGTACAGGGTTTTATATTTTTGTTTAAAGATTTGAAAGTACCCAAGAAAATAGAAGTGACGAATCTCCCAGATTGCAATGCTCCCAGAAAGTGGGAATGGATAACCTTAGTTTTCTCTGTATGGGCTTTAGAATTTTTTCAAACTTTGCGGCAATCACATTCTTGTTTTACAAGCAGGAAAGAAAACTCAGGAAGAAACATAAATGAATCGCCTTTAGTCTTTCAAAAAAAGGAAAAGGAAGTTCTGCCGGCCCCCCCACCAGCACCCACGGTGCCTGCCCTTTCCTTCTTCCTGCAGCTGTCCCAGCAGCATTCCTGCTCTCGCTAAGCCCTGGACGTAGAGGAGGGGTGACTGGACCTTTGCATCGTCATCTTGCATCCATTTACACACTGCGGTTCCCCTTTGGTTTGCTTTCTTCCTACTGCACAGCCCCGGTTCCAGTCAGCTTTTCATCTGAAGCCAGCTGTTTCCACAGGCTAATTCTATGACTTGCAGTGCTACCAGATGCCTGGAAGTTTGTTGTACTGTATAATCCTGGGGGAAAGCAGCCTGATAATAGATTCACAATTC